TCAAGCTGAGTTATAATGGGCAGAAGCTGCGAGAAATGGCAATTCTACGTTTGCGAACAATGCTGTTCGTAAACAGAAAGATTTTGCTTTCCGACGGTTGTAACTGATAGATAGATAGATAGATAGATAGATAGAGAGAGAGAGAGAGAGAGAGAGAGAGATTGACCGGAATTGATCAAACAATACTGAAATGCAAGTCCGGAAGCAAAAACATCAGAGTAACGACTGAAATTATTTGGAGATCTTTCAGAACGACTGAGAAATGGAAAAAAATTCTATTAATCTGTATCCTTTGAAGTAAATGACGAACCAAAATCAAGCGGTCGAGATTTGTATTAATAATAATCGGCAGCATAAAATTGACGCCATTTGATATCATCAATTCTGATAAAAATCAGATGTTGTATAATAATCATAGACTGGATGCGGAGGAAGAGCAGCAACATCACCCAGGCAAAATCTATGGTAAGGGAGTAGTTTCAATCATTATAACTTCCTTCGAAGTTAGCCAAATGTTTGATGCATAAAAATATACAGTGAAGATTAAGATGATGCATTCAAATCTGAAACAGTTTCCAGATTGACAAATAGAATACCATTTTGTTGTATGATGACGTTCGTCCTCATACCGTGGGCTCGTACAATACGGCCAGGCGGATAATTTTAATTTTTGAGGACACTTTGAGGAAGATTAAAACAAAGATTTCACATTCCTAATTGAAAAAATAGGGGTTATGGTCTAAAAAAACCTGGTCTATAATGAAAGCCAAGGCTCACTGAAGCAACGAAAGATGCATTCCAAAATCTAAACAAAGTAATGGAATTAAAAAATAGGGTTTTAAGTCGAGAAACCCTGGTCTGAAATAAAAGCCAAAATTCCCCCAAAAGAACTTAAGGTTTGCATTTAACTCATTTAGACTTCTGCCATGGGTCCTTACCTATAACTACAGAATGAACTCTTCCTAACACTACGTATACTACGCCTCTCAAGGGAGAGGGACGAATCGAGTCGAGCCGATAGTAGTTCACTCCAAACCAGACTGACAGTCATACTAACACCTTCCACATCTTGTATTATTATTTCGTGTAATATACCTTCATTATTTCTACTCTTGTGTTCGTGTTGTTCTTCCTTGGTCCTAACCTGGACCATAACAACTTCTTTTGCTGGGATTTTCAGTGCCGAAAATCATAGAAATAAAGGTTTAGATCAGTCATGGATAAACTGCGGCCCACAGACCACATGCGGTCTGTTTGACCTTTCTGAATGGCACGCTTAATTTCACAAGCAAAATAACGTTTCTTAACATTTTATTTTGTTTCGTTCTCACTTGTTCTCTCACACATTCTTTCATACATAACCACATACATAAACAACAATTAAGTACAACGGTTCTTGAATTTTGTAAACTTTCGTGAAACTAACGTTGTCAGTATTTTAAATCATTAACAATTTTCAATAAGGAAGATTATACATGTAAACATCTTTTCTTTTTTTTTTTTTTGAAACAGGTTTCCTTGTGATTCTAAATTTTTTAATTATAAAAAATATTTTCTAAAAAAATAAAACTTTCCTACCATTTCTAAGGTATATGCTTATATATTGTATATGCGAAATAACTCCACAGCAATTATGGAAATGTATTAATGTTATTTGTACTTAAGAAGAAGATTAAAACTCAGCTTTCACATTTTCACATTCATAAATAAATAATAGGGGTTTAAGTCTAGAAACCCTGATCTATAAGAGTTTTAATTTTGCAGTTAATGCTTTAGACTTCATTTGCAGGTTTTTCAGTGCCCAAAGTCATAGAAATAAAGGTCTAGATCATCATTTTCTGATAAATATTGTGAAAGAAGGCATACTGACATGAGAGCTATCATGATACAATGAATAAATAGAAACATTTTCATTGAATTAAAACTAAATTCTCCTAATGCTATGTAACAACAAGCACAGAACTTGGTGGCCTTGCCCAATAGAGTCAGAAGTCCATTTGTGTTTACTGAATCACCTGAATGATTTTCAGCTCAGAACTGTATTAACATTATTTGTATTTAAGAGGAAGATTAAAAGAAAGCTTCCATATTTCTAATTGAAAAAAAAAATAAATAGAGGTTTAGGCATAGAAAACCTGGTCTACAGTGATAGTCAAAATTCCTCCAAAAGAGCTTAAATTTCTACTTTAGACGACGTTTTGTCATATTTTCTGTGCCAAAAAAAAGGATTCAGCACACACCCCACCACCACCACGAAAAGATAAACAATATAAGAATAGAACTCTATGTCATGATTTTCGGATAAATACAAAAAGTACGTCGAAAACTAATATTTGGTACCCAGCATCAGGAACCAAAAATGGTATTTTGGTACCAAGCATCAGGAACCAAAAATAGTGTAACAGATAAAAGCATGTGTGTACTTTTTAAATATCTTCTCGAGAAAAATATTATTACATTTTTCGGATATAAATTTCTTTAATAATTGGGAATTTACTCTAAAAAGTACAAAAAAAATTTAGTATCGAGTGATTCTTGTTGATGTTATTCGAAAATTGTGTGTCAAAGACAAACTGCGGGTAAAATAGGACAAAATTCGTGTAAAATTGACTGAATTTTGTGTCCCCATATCTACTTGGTATAGGTCATTTTTAAAACAGTTAAACCTGACGGTCACTAAAAAAAATGACTTTCAACAAAATTCCAATAATTAACTGATTGATTTGTTATTTACGGCTTATCAACCTTTTGCAGGTTATTTAAAGCCAAAAAATATGTGAGAATTTTTTTTACTTAATAAGGATTTAGTTATATAAGTTTTACTAATTAACTCATAGCTGGGCCAGAGGGGAGTTGGACTCATAATCTCAAGGGTATTTGTACGTAAGTGAATATAATGAACCCAACTGGAATTGGAACTCTGCTCTCCGATTTTCAATTTCAAGCTGTTATCCATTTCCCCAACCAAGCTTACAGCACCTGGTATTCTTAAGCGGTCATCCATCGAGGTATTAACTTCGGTGATCGTACGGGAACCAATGTTTCAACAAGATATATTGTTGCTAATTTTACCATAAATATGTATTGATGGTAATTTTTTTATATAAAATTGTATTACTGATATTTTTAATATAAAAACGTATTTTTATATTTTCATAAAGTTTAGTGTTCGAACTATGGACAAATAGTCAACCCCTAAACAAAACACTAAGAAAGTATGAAAAATACGCGTTTATATTAAAAGTATCAGCAATACATTTTCCCAGGTTTTATATAAAAATGTATTGTTGGTATGTTTACTATTAAAATGTATTTTTATACTTTCATATTGTTTTGATTTTGTGGCGGGGGTTCACTATTTTGTCATAGCTGGGACCCTAACAGGTGCTACCCTCCCGAGTCAGTGTAGACTTGAGAACAACAGCAATTAAGAGGTGGTCCCACGCTCCTCAAAACCTTCAATCTCCCGATCAAGGGCCTTCATGACGGATGTAGTTTATTGTCATACCCAGGTGGAGTTCTTAATAAATTTGTCTATTTGTTATTTTCTGTAATCCTTGCTCTGCCATCCATGTACTCAAGCTCGCTAGGTTGGTTATGTGCCGTTTTCCTCTGTCCCTCTTACCTCCTTCCAGCGAGTATCAAATTCTCCAAGCTCTCTTTTCTTTTTATGTACCCTTGAAACTTCAACTGTCTCTTCGTGATTTTAATTGCTTTGTTTTCATTTTCTCTAAAACTCACATGTTCGGTTCATGGTATTCTCATCATCCTACTGTAAAACCATTTTTCTGTTACTTCAAGTCTATTCTTCATTTGTGACGAGATTATACAGAAGTTTTACTGATTTATTCGTTTTCTGTGCCTTACCAACACTTTGCAGGTTACTTAAAGCCAGAAATTCTTATTATATTGTAAGATATTTTTTGGAGGTAATAATGATTATAGTGATAAAATTCTTACTAATTAACCCATAACTGAGGGGGTAAGTGGTGGACTTATACCTTCCCCAAAGGTATTTGTGAGAAAAAGAACCCAACGAGAATTAGAACTCGGTTCTTCAATTAACAATGTCTAGTCATTATTCATTACACCACCGCACAGTAAAGCTTTCAGCAGTATTTCCATACGCTCACCGATCTAATTACTGACTATGCTCGACGTTACCTGTTAGAGTCCCATAGCTGGGTCCCTAACAGGTGCTACCATCACGGGTCAAGGTGGACCTGGGAACAAAAACAATTAAGGGGCGGTCCCACGCTCCTAGAAACTTCCAATCTATCTATCAGATGCTTTGCAAATGTATATAATTTATCGTTATACCCAGAACTAATTAAAAACGCGAAGGTTTTGATTAAATCCAATCTATTATAACTTGACAAATATTTGGAGTTGGGACAAATTCTGTGATTGCGAGATTGTCGTCTTTCAGACTAGATACAGCACGTATCACGTTACCAACATTACTATCAGCCCGTTATGCATTATACATGCTTAAGCGATCATGTATCTTTCGATACATGACTGACGAGGCAGATTTTTTCCCGTAGTAGATTGCCTTTTCTCTCTGCCGTAGAATATTTGCCATGCAAGTCTATAGAACTAGGGCAGGGTTCATACCTTTCACAAGGGTATTAGTACGTAAAACAAAGCAAATATAATATATAATAAAATTCAATATAATATTACTGATAAATTATATGCTTAATTGTATAAATACGTATTTAAATGTTTGTTTATAGGTTTTCAGCTATATGCATGTCTCTAAAGCCCAAAATTAAACTGGTTTAAGTAAAATTTGGTGTCAACCAATATAAAATGAATTTTCAGCATATATATATATATATATATGTGTGTGTGTGTGTGTGTGTGTGTGTGTGTGTGTGTGTGTGTGTGTGTGTGTGTGTGTGTGTGTGTTTTTATCAAAAAATACTGTTAACTTGTTTTGGGAGTGTCAGGTTTTATTAGACAGAAGTACATCATTATGAATAAATTCAAAAGATATCCGCTATAAAAAACATATTTGATGAATATAAGATTCTGACAATACTACACATAATATTACTCCACCTCTGCTTGGTTTTCTCTAGTTATGTTAGGCAACTATTTCCATATAGGGTTGTTAGATCCATTTAATATAGCTTTACATTCAATACTTAACTTTTCAGTCAGTCAGTTATGTGCCATG